TTCCCCGTTGCGTATTTTCGTCGAGTATAGAGGAGCGGGGAATTGAAATCATTCGCATGTATCAAAATGTGCTTTTAATCTGGAAAATCTACCGAATAATTGGTATATTCAAAGTCCTTGCGGGCATTTCCCCAGCATCGATTCGAGTTCATTGTATGCAGTTGGTTCAAATTTTCTGTAGAATCGTCTCAGCTCTCTCTCTCTCGAATTTGAACTGCCGTGATGTCACAAATGTGAGTGTAGATGTGCAGAAATTTGTGATTTCCTGGGTCACTGAATTAATCCCTTGTGAGTGCGCTGTGCGTTTACAGGTAGTATGTCTCATATAGACATTTCGCAGAATGAATAGAATCGAATTTCTCTGACCTGTGAAAATCACATTGAGATAGAGTAATACGCGTTGAAACTAATTGAGTAAGAAAAAAAGGATCAGTTCAAAATAGCTAGGTCAAAATTGCCTCANATAATAAGTAAACCAAACCGATTGATAAACGGACGGACAAACAGATGTACGGATAGACAGACAGAGAGACTTAAGACTAACGGCATCTACAAAATGACATGCTAGAAAACTTTGAATGCTCCAAACATTCCACTCTGACTTTTTGGAGGAGAGAGAATGTATACACAAACAACTATGAACCCACGCAGTTAGGATATTTGGGCCGACAAATCTTCAGTTTGATTGGGCTCGATTATCTAGCAGAATGTGTCACTGTGTGGGTGGGTGGGTACTCGGTGCTTCAGAATAGCAAATCATCTTCGCTACGGATATTACCTTGGTATAATCTGTCTTTTTCCAATGGGTAATCAGTTTCGTTTTCTCAGTCAATGGAGTGTAAATAATCAGGTGAATTGAAACGAATATTGAAAAACGATTTTGTCAAACACTGGAAGTAACAACAACAACAACAACAACAACGATAACAATCATAACAAGCTAAGAGGATTCACCTCTGCTTACTGCAAACTAGGGTTCCCCAGAGACTTGGCTCTGCCTTGCTTTCGTCTGCCCGCCCATCCACCCCTTGCAAGCACGCATTTACTCACGCGTGCACACACACACACACACACAGGACTTCACAAATAGCTACGTATACACACAAACAAACCTGAAGCAGTGATTGAAACGATCATCATAGGAACACATAATTTAGCTCAGCGATCGGCCAAGTGAAAGATAATCAGTTTTCTGTAAAAATATTAGAATCATAGTCAACCTTCTGGATCCGATTAAGTCAATAAAAATGCTTGGATAAATCAGTAAGGTACCTCAACGTTTTGTTTTAATTTACCTCATTTGGCTGAATGTGAATTCAAATGAGAAAAGCAGATTTTTGGTGAACTGGGAAACGCTGTCACCAACAAGCAAAATGCACATGGGGTGAGTGCATTGAATCAGTCGACTTATTTTCAGATCACTTCCCAGGAATTTTCGACTAAAACTATAAACCTCACAGATACCCTTAGTATTAAAAATCCATAAGATCGGTAGAGGATTTAGCACTTCATTATTGGAAAAATGAGATGATTAGTGAGTAGACCAGGTTACGCAGAACGCAACGAATAATGATAACACAGTCACTGCTTCACGAAAGACTATAGGTTTGTGGCCAAGTAGTTAGCCGGTCTGTTTGCATCTTCTGTTGTTACAATATTCAATCCACTTATCTAATCCGGGTTGTTCGCCCTAGAATCTTTCAGGTATCCACAACCGCCGCCATGCACTGCTCATATAATATGGGTAGTACCCTACAACGTGAACACTCACTTGAAAACATTACGTAAGAGCACAGACCATGATTGAAATGTCGCTTGCCAAAACCCCTTTTTCTATAGCTATACTTTCGTTCAAATCTAAATAAATAAATAATAAATAAATCTAAATAATTATAATTCGCAGATCTAATCGTGTAAGAGCTTGCAAAATTTAGTTTGCATTGTTTCTTAAGCATAGTTATATCAAATAGGGTATCACGTGCCTCCTGATGAATCTTCCTATCAGAATCACGCCAAATCCAAGGTGATCGAACGGATATTATTGCTCCATTTTCAACAAAAATAAATATGCGAAAGAATGCACATGATATACGTGATAAATAACCTCGAGTAGTGAAATAATTTAAGCGGACCATTGCACCATTCTACATTTTACTCTGAATTTATTGCTCACAGAATAATTATACTCGCCTCAACCACTCGCTCCGACAACAAATAACGGTGAACAAATAGTGCAATCAGTACGATCGTGAAAAGACTCACTACCGAATTGTTTAAAAGATATTGATACTACTACTGTTCTGAGGTATTACTCGCAGTGTTGAGTAAGTTGCACGCACCCAGAAGCGGTTGTTGTGTTCCTACGGAATTCCCAAGTGAATTAAATGATTTACTTTTATAAATACTTTGTAACTAAATGCGCATAATTACCCTGGGTACTTGTGGGAGTTCTGAAGACTTGTTTCAAATGAGATATTTCGTTGCATACTATACATATCATCTCGTTTTATGTCATGCTATCAAATAAAGGATCCTTTTGTTGTAGATAATATTATTGGAACCATTTGTAAGCAAGTCTAGATTAAAAAGATTCCGACTGCTTCACAAGCCCTCACTGCTAGCGGTTAAATGAACGAGATGTTACGTTCTGTATATGTTTGTACCGATTATTTTTGCACTGTTCGCTATTAGTTTCTCATTGTGCTGTTAAGCGTGTCATCCTCAGTTTACTTGCCGGGTTTAGATCATAAGCAGCGCACATTCATAGTTGATAAAGCACTATTAAATTATTTACAAACCGCATGAAGAGGTTCACCCATTTTGTTGTGGTCCCTGTTACCCATTCCTGATCACTTTTAAGAAACGTAAAAACATTGAACCAGCGCTGTTTGAGCGCTTGTTTCTATTTCATCAAATCCTTTTTGGTCAGTGTGTATTTTTTGTAATGTGAGTAAAAAACTAACTGGCAAAATGGTCTGCTAGTTGACAAAATCATGCAATATGGAGCAAACGATAACATTTAGGTTTCAGTTGTATATCTATCAGACAAAAAGTTCGGGTTTCGAATGACTAAACCCGACATTTTACGATGCAGATTCGTTTTTCACTTACGAACTAACGCCATATATACAAATAGGGAAATAGAACAAAGCAACGGACCTATTTTACACTGATAATTCCTCAATAAAACTCTTATTTCGGTTCACAGAAGGATAGCAAAATCGCCATTTCTCGATTAATCGGGCAAATGTGACTCGCAATTTGGAGCCTTATTGGATTGCATTCTGGATTAAGTTCAGTCACAATGGGTCAATGACGCAGTTCTTCAATGAGGGAGAAGATAAATATTTATTACCAGGGCAACTGGTCCATTGTCACCCGTTGTTCCAGATACTGGATGACAAAATAAGATTATTTTATCTTATTTAGAGTTCATGGATGATGTTATGAAGAGGCTACTGCGTCAATGAAAAAAAATATATTTTTATCGTTTTACTATAGGGTTGTTTTATTTCATCTTATTGCTCCAGGTGTGCCTTGCACGAAAGAGATTAAGTGGGGCTTTAGAATCAATCAAAAAATATGTTTTATTTCGTCAACTCTTATTTGAGGCTACTCTCAACACTCATTCACGCTTACAAACAGATATTATATCAGTCCTGTTCTTTTTCAGTTTCTTTAAGCGATAACATACTGATTTCTCCTAGCTGAAAAAACCTGGGATAATTACGTCAGTGTGTGAGTAGTAATCTTGTTAGCTACGGAATGATCACTCTATATTCGAATGAATATTAAGATGTTAATGATCGAGCTCGGGATTTCAAAAAAAGCTGGAGAAAGAGGTATGTTTGTTAAGTGGTGCCGAAGTCGGGCTGATGAACGGATTCGAACAAACAACCTTCTTGTTTCTTTAGTGTG